TTACAGTCAAACAAAATACTTTATTGAAATTCTCTAGGTTAGCCATTACAGCATTCAACAAAACTTGCGCCATGAAAGACGATAAAATATTTCTAAATATTTCTTTGTGAAGGCAATAGTAAGAATCTAAAACAAAATAAACAAAAAACTAAATAAAAAGTATCCTTAAGAGTATGATTAGGATAGCAGATATGATCAAAATCACTGAAAATATCATAAAATTGTGGGGCCATTCCAGTAAATAAAAGACAACAAAAATTAAATACTAAACCTGGTGATTTATATATGGAAGTTGATGTAGTTTCAATCACGCTACATGAATTATATCTTTCCTTTCATTTTCTTCTTTTAAGTAACATTTTTTTTATGCATTTATACATACACAAGAACAAAAAAATCCTCATACAAATGATCAATTCATACAATTCTTGAACTAAGTCTCACAATAATAATGCTCTAACAGACATGTATGCAAGAATTAAATCACCAAACATACAGTATTTGCAATATAAATCTGAAACAAGCCCAAACACTTTTGCTCGTAACAAAATCAACATGATGCAGAATCTCGTTATTAACAGAATAAATTCACCATTATATTTACAACACAATGATTCGAAAAACACCACAGATGAACTGATGTTGACTTGGGTACGTGCAATATCTGAGCAACAAACACAACCCTTCGAAAACCAGCTCATCTGTGACCAGAACAAAACGACTATATCAGCTTCCATACAATGTAACTTATCATTTTTTATTCCTTCTTCAGATCCACTATTGAGACAATTTGTTTATTCATATCTTTGGTAAGAAACTAAAAATAAAAAAGAGAAGGTGACCAAAGTGTACATACATACCCATAATATCTATAAGTAATAAGAAATGGAGGTGGGGAGCGGGGGGAAAGGGAGGGGAGTGGGGGGGAAACGTGAATATATCCATCCTATTGGAGATGTAAGAAATTTAGAAAAATAAACACTTAAAAATTTGTACACAATCCCTACTTTGTGTATGCCATGTTGTTGACCACAGACTATGATTAGCTTTCATGACACTGGCCTTGCTCTGACCAGTAACTTGTGGTATGGAGATGAGAGACAGCCCTATCAATTAGTTTGGAATGGTCCCTTCACCAGCCTGCTTTGATGGCAAGTAGAATTAATTTGTAAATAACACAAGTGCCAGCAGGTTAAATTGAAGAAAATAAGAGAAAATACATGTTATAGATACCAATGATTATGTTTGGGGAGTTGGGGGGACAGTGATGAAGATTTTGGGGAGCATAAAAATGGAATGAATATCCAAGCACTAAGGGGAGGGGAAACTAATTGAATAGGCAATAAAAAATATGATAAATGAAAGGATTTTCAATAATAAATAACTTCCTAGAAGGAGCTTGGATCTGACAACATTTGAACAAATACATGTTAAGGTAAACATTGCTAAACAGTGAAAGGGATCAAGAAAAGGCATAAGATGGTTTGATCTTGCTAAGGGGCATGCAAGACCAAGGTTAGATATTAAAGATGAAAGTGGTTGGGGAGCATAACCTGGGTGTTTCAAAAGGCCTTATTACCTACTGCTAATTCATATCATGTTCAACTTTCGACTTGTCTCACAAGCAGCTATAAATATATTTTTTAAAAATTTCTTTAAACTTCTCTCAACAAATGTAATAATAAGTAACAGAGTATTTGGAATATTTGAGAATCAGTTTGGTGCTAGTCTGGTACTAGTCTCCTGATGTAGCTATCTGCAAGTCACTTCAGAAAGTTGAATGAAATTTGAAATAGCAATAAGTGATATTGCCTAGACAGTGCCAAGAGGACTGAGTGCCTCAAACACATCACCAAATAGTCCTGCAGCAAAGGTGCGTCTTAACACATCAACAACGAAGGTGGGCCAGGGGGGAGGTGTTTCTGTCCTCACTGATCAGGAGCTGGTGCTTCACTGTTCCCCAGCCTACATCTTGGAAGACCAACAACTCCAAGCAATTGATGCTTGGCCTCAGAGCACTTAGGGTGTGTTGTGGAGAGGACAGTATATAAACTGGCAATGACTTAACAATTTTTAAATAAATAAATAAATAAATAAATAAAAAAGGAAAATCAACAAATGGTGCCAGAATAAAGTAGAGGGCACTAACCCTACTGTGCTGTCACTACTGGGTCAGCTAACACTCCCCGTGGCCCATCTTGCTACAATATCAGGGATAACAAGATGTTTAAAACAAGTCCAAGATTGATTCTGTAACAGCTCTTATATATCAAAATAAACTGAAACTTTTTGAACAACTGACAGACATGGCATATCTTTTCTTGTGTTAGACATGGTTATATGAATATATAATGCTTTACATACTACGGGACCATTTAAGTGGGTAACATGAGTTATGTATGACTGTAATTGACACACTTGGACCTTAAACAATATCAACATGGTTACAAACACAGATCTCTACAAAAGCTGCCGTAAACACTGTACACAGAGTAGTTACTGGCACCGCCCTGGCCTGGTATGGGGGGCGGCAGAGTCAGGACAAGCAGAGCAAACTTCCAGCGGTTAATATCATCACTGACAAAAGTCTCCCTGGCCAAAGTGACCCACTTTTAAGTACACATTTTGATTTCTAACACTTGGAAGAGGGGGACTTGCTCGTCCTGTCTCTGGGTTCTGGTCATGACACTTTTTCCTGATGCTTTGGACTAGGCACAATAATGATCAACTACTGCTTTGTGAACAGAAGAGGTTCATATAGCAAAAATAGCAACACACATCTGGTGGGCACTAAAGAGACTGGGCGATGGGTACAGCTCGAGGCGGTAGCGCACACCCACGCCCAGCCCAGGGCCCAATCTACAAGCAGCGCTACTACAAAAGTAACATGATACAAACAGATAGAAAAAACAGCAAAAATAGTGGAATGTTTCATCTCTGGTAAGTAGTCAACGCGTCAACAGCAGAGAACTGGGTTATGATACTCTTAACGTTAGTAGAAAAGCAGAGGGGCGCAGGGCGGGTCAAGACGGTGCAAGGCATAATACTGGTGGCCGCCCTACCCCCTCCGTCTGGGCCCGCGGGCTCACCAACCCACCGCCCGCCCACAAACTACACATTCTTTTGGACTGTAGAAAGGTGAAAAAATAGACTTTGGAACTCCTTTTTTTAAGTAGATACGAACGAAGTCATGCTTCAGAAAGGCCAATGGAAGTGGTGAAGAAATTATCAAACTTTGTTGTAGTGTCCCAATTTATCACTGGTGTATTGTGACGGAGAGGTGACAGATGAAATGTGGCTCTAGGCAGGGGTTGTGGCACCAAGGAAGGATAAACATTTGAAGAGTCAACAATTGGAATGTTGGCTGCAAAAATCAACAAATACCTTGTAGGTAATTTGCCAGGTAACTTTTGTGCGTCTGCCAGGAGGATTGTGGCATTTCATCTGGACCAACAGGGACAGTCCGAGAGTGAAAGACGAAGGGGAAGCCCCCTCAGTACTACACTAAGTCCGCCTTAACCTATGGGTTGTTGATCTACACAGCACAGCGAGCACTAACTAGAAGTGGCATGTAGCTGCCCAGCCACTCAGCCACATGTATCCTGGGACTTTCCATGCAACAAGCGCACACACAGAGGTCAGCCTCCACACTCAAAAGAGGACACCAACTCATTCACCAGGACTGCGGTGTGTGGAGGGCAGCCAGAGCCCCGCACCATTGATGCCTTATGCCACCAGGACTGGGCCCGGCAGACCCAGGCAGACTGGCTGGCCAGCCGGGCCCTGACTAGTCTACTGAGGGCCCCAAACAGCTGGTGGGATCCATACAGCTGGAGGGACCCAGACAGCTCCACTAGCATCTACACAGTAGTATCAACAGGAGATATGTATTGTCCAAGCCATTCAGTGCTCCCTTGCAACACAGTGATTGGCTACGAGAATTTGAAAGGTAACATTTAATGCTTATGTGCTACCTAATACAGTTAACTAACTGGCGACAAACTGGTTACCGCCACTCCGAACACTGAAGTTGATTCATCATTCACTGTATTGGGAAAGCAAGCATTACCACAAAGGCCGTGTATGTGCTGTTAACACCTCTATTATGCCATACAGAGTGATGAGAAACAATTAAGTACGAGCCGGCACTTGACTAACAGCCCACGTCCATATGCCAGGCGTAGGATAACAACCAGGTACAAAGCAGACTGTTTCCTGCTCGCGACAAAAACAAGACAACAAATTATTTCCGCTCTACTACACAGGAAACCTTTTAACTTTTTAATCTTATCTGAGTAAATGGCTAGTACATCACAAAAACTAACTCCAGTGAATGAATAAACAGTTTCAACAGTTAAACAAGCTTACAATTTACCCAGCTTGGCACAACTCGTATGGCCAAATTCTGAACACGAAAAAACGAACAACCATTTTCATATCATAACAAAATGTGATTCTGCAGTTACATTCAATCTACATATCAAAGACCTGTTATTGGTTGCAGAAATTCACCAATTCTAAAAATCACTTGTGCCCTGTATCTGTTACCACAGTAACAAAAAACAATCATAGACTTTGTGCGGGGAATCTGCAACCAGCGGTCGGTTTTGGAGCGGACCCATTCCCGCATGAAGCAGAGGTGTGTGTGGCACAATCACAACACAGTCACGACCTTAAGGACTACAACACCGCACAACACTGGTAAGGCATGATCTCAGGGAAAGGTCACAAGTTGGTTTAGTTAATATCAGCCATCCTAGGCAGGGTTACAACAGGTTGAGCTTTGTATTACACTACTTGAAGCAGATACAAAAAAGGCAAGATAGGGAATAGTGATTACAACAATGGTACTCAACTTCTACCTAACATAGTGAGCTAGTCTAGATATATATCAACAGGTAAGGGCAATAAGGGCATATTAATCCGGCTGTTACCACACGGGTGCAGAACCCACAAGTCCAGCCCCGAAGGTGGACTCTAGGATGTGGCTGGCGGGCTGTGTGGTTAGAGTGCTTCATTACTACAAGGACAGAATTTGATTTCTGTTCTACATGTGTTTCAAGAGTTCAAGACAGTTGTTAAATTCATATTTCTAACTGTCAAATGTAGAAAACATCACCAAAGTTATATTATCACCTGTAATTTAGTTTGGCCCCCATTTTTCTTTAGTGTTTGTTGCTTCACAAAAATGACTTTCCTTGCATGTACAAAGATAAACATATCAGGCATTTGCTTCCTCTGACTTTGATTGTCACACTTGGGCTAAATTTATAAAAGCAAATCTGGGCAGGTTTAACATCTCTAGAAACACCATTAACTAATTTTGATATATATTCCTCAGCAAACAGTGTGAAAAGGGTATAACAAGTGAGTAGCAAACTTCTGGATGGCTCAACATGTAACTTGTCAATAGCATTGACTTTTTTTTTTTCTTTTAAAATAAATAACGTCTCCATTCTGACCAACGGAATACTTGTAAAAAGGAACAAATTTTCCAGCCTTCCATAAAATGAAACTTAAAATCTTTTTCTTCTAAAAAAACAAAAGACCAGACTTCTTCCCGATAAATAAAACTGTTGGCTCCCGCCGAGCCATAGGACCGGCCGACTGGCCATCTTTCTGACTGACAGTGACAGACTAACTACATCCTGGCCTAACTTTGTTGTTAGCCCCTGAAATGGGGCACTGGCTGGCGGGTGGCCCCAGTAACAATATGCTAACCAGGGCCTTCTACTGCCCTGCCTCCATGCACATCTTGCCTGTAGCTCTCATGCACAATTCCTTACAACTAACAAATGCAATAGAACAATAATGGGTGAGTTGATCAGCTGCAGCTGCAATATATAAAGAGCTACAGCTGAGAGATGCTACCACTAGAGGGCAGAGGAGGACCACCGGCACCCTGCTGATGCGTGCAGTGGTGCTCCACTCCCAAACTTCAACACCTCAATAAATTACTGCACATAAATATGAAAAATAAAAGAAACTTAAACAAAACCAAAACAAAAATACCATGAGCAGGCTATCCAAGAAACAAAAACTTAATCCTTAATGGCACAACTTACGACTGTAGGTGCAACAAATAGAAAATTTTGAAATAAACTCTAAAACCAATTGAATAGTTATGTACATGACTATTGGCAGAGTTAGAAAAATTGAAAATAAAATAGAAAAACCTACTTCAACAAAAAATGCGAGTAAATGTAAAAGTGACTTGTATAAACAGGTATCTAAGCCCATTATATGGTAACTGCCTGATACCCAAGTACACTGGTAACTGGCCTCTTAGCCTATAAAGGAGGCCTCAGCCACTTTTTGACTAGGGGAGGGCAGACTTGGGCCTGGCATCTGCCCCTGGGAGTACAAACAACTGCAACCACCGTATTAAAAATAGACTATATGAAGGAACAGAGACAACACGGGAACCTTGCCTCTCACCCAGAGGAACAGCCTTCAACAGTGGCTGTTGAGGCTGACCTTGGCTTGGAGTGAGGGGTGAGGTCATCAGGAGAAGGTTAGTGTCCTGTCACTTGTGCCACACTTGTCACAGTGCCAAACAAGATTACAAGAAGTGTGCCTCTTTGGGCAGTATCAGCAGTCTTCATCTAACAATGCTGTACAGCTTCTCATGTTACAACCAAATTGGAAAGTGCACCACTGTGACTGTAGGCGAGATGAGGCAACCTCTGTCTCACATGTGGGGTGGCGGCACCTGCAGGTACCGGTAAACATACAGACGGTAATCTTTGGAGGCCAGGACCACTGATCCATCATCCATGAGTGCAACGTCAAAGCACTGGGCGTGCTTCACCTTGGACTCGTACGCTGACACTAGCTGGCCATCCTGGGTGAAGAGTGTAAGGTTGAAGTTGTTGTGGTTGTCAGCAATCAGAACTTCACCTTGGCTATTGATGCCTACACCAATAGGGTAATTGGTGATACCCTCGCCACCAATCTGACGGAGGTACTGTCCTTCATAGTTGAACACCTGAAAATAAAATATATCAATATATGGCATGGCATTTTTACCATTTTGTAATGTGATGATCATATACTCAAACTTAATGCTCTAAACACAATCACATGTTAAGTTTGTATATTTCATTTTTGTTTCAACTGCATCAAATACAAAATTATAAAAGCATATATACAATTTTTTTTTCTTTGAATCTTCATAATAGTAAAAGGCACACACAGAATTACCTTCACACAATGAGCTCTGTTGTCAGAGATGAAGATTTCTTGTTTGTCATTCACCACCACACCGTTGGGGAATTCCAGGTGGTTGGGGCAGTTGAACTGGTGTAGCACTGTACCAAACTGGTCGAAGATGATGACCCTCATTACTTTGCACTCCACAACAATGATGCGCCCTTTGTGGTCAACAGTTACACCACGTGGGTAGCATAAAGTGTTGGCTCCAAACTTCCTTACAAACTGTCCATACTGATTATAGATCTGTATCTGATGGGTTGGAGATCGTTCAGTCACAATGATGTCACCACTGGTGCGTACAACAGCCACCCTATTTGGGTAGAGCAACTGGCCATCGCGCTTCCCACACTCTCCAAACTGGAATTTGAAACGTCCTTCCTTGTCAAAGATCTGGATTCTGTGGTTGTTAGTATCTGCTACAATTATATCATTCTGGGCATTGACAGCAACACCACTTGGTTCGGTAAACTGGCCCTCAAGAACACCAAACTCTCCAAACTTGCAATGATAGATCATCTTCTGGCGCTTGATCTGTGATCGTGGTGGGAATATGGAACAGGACAGTAGCTTGTGGGACAGATCATGAAGAACTGGATCTGGTGCAGTAACTCCATTCACCTGTTCCTGGTTGAACACGCCTTCTCCACCACAGCTCCACTTCTCATAGGATGTGAGCCCATTTAGGTTGAGATCTCCAAGACTTGTAGAGAATGGGCCCATGGACTGTGTGGAGCTGAATCTCTTGGACAGCAAATTTGACAGTTGACTGTTGCTATATGGACGCTCCAACATTCCATTTAAATTGCCATTCATGGTGCTGTTTAATCCACTGGTAAGCCCATTAGCAAGTCCATTTGTTAAACCATTGGCAAGGCCATTAGTGAGACTATGAGATAATCCTGAAGTTAAACTATTTGCAAGACTTGTGGACAGTCCATTGGCCAACTGCCCATTAGAAATTTGCCCATTTGCTAAGTTCTGTGTGCTGACCAATTGCTGGGCATTGATACTTCCAGTCAAGCCATTGGCCAATGTAGTATTGAGTCCTGATAAGCCATTCAGGCAACTGTTAATTGTGTTCATACTACTGACAGAGACGGAGTTGGAGGAGTTGGGTCGTGCAATGGGTGGTAACTTGGTTGGCCCAACTTGGATATCAGAGGCTGACCGAATATAGCCAAATGTGTTCCTCACTCCTACTTGAATGGCAGGGAAATTACTCACAAATTCAAGGTCACTGACATTTTGCATACCTAGGTCAAAGTTCTTTCCCATCTGTTCTGCAAGCTTTCCTTCAATGAGCTTTCGGAACATGAGCAACTCAGTGGTATTTGCATACTTCCTCAATTTTTCAATGAAATCGCAAGTCGATAACAGCTTCTCCACGCTCTCCTGTGCCTTCTGAGCAAACACTGAGAGGGAGACTTGTTTGGCATGGTAGAGCGAGTCCAGCTCTCGCAATAATTCTGTCTTGCGTTCTTCTACCATAGTTGTGTAGAAGTTGAATGTATCATGAATCTCTGACTGTGCCTTCTCATACTGTTGCTGGAGACGTGTTGAAGAACCCTCAACAGATTTAACACAAGTACGGAGATCTGCTGCCCGGGACCGCCCGTCTTCCATGGCATGACAAATCTGATCCAAATGGCGGGGCGCTGCATCGTTCAGACCCTCCAACTCATGAATACCTTTTGGGTGGTCCATCATGATGCAATCATTGCAAACTGGTGAACTACAAGTAATACAGAAATACTTGAGAGGCTCTCCTTTGTGACGTATGCAGGTGACTGGACGCTCATCCCGCTGGGCTAGTTCTGCCAGTGTTACCACACGGTGTCCTTCAAAACAATGCATATACTGGTGGGCCATGACACAGTGTGGGCAGAGGAGCTTTGCGCAGTCCAAACAACGTGCAACAGCTGCTACGTCACGACTCTTGCAGGCTGTGCAAGAAGCAGGCTCATCCACTGGCGTTTCCAAAAGGCGATGGAGAGCGTAGTCTGGTAGTAGAAGTGGTGGGGGAACTGTCGTTACAGCTTGGCACTGAGGGCACACCAAGCGGTCTCCTCCATCACAAACTTTCTCTAAGCACCCAAGGCAGAAGATGTGCAGGCAGGAGAGAACTCGTGGCATAACATAAGTGTCATTGCAGAGCCCACACACAGTTGCCACTGGAGAGCTGCGGCCAACTATGGATCCTGTAATCAGAAAAGCAGTCTTATTATTTACTGTGAAACCTGATATAAGACAACTGAATGACCTCATGAAAATTTTCCTTTCAACTGATTCAATATCGAAATTTACCACAAGACAATATGCCAAGTTATGCAAAGAAAAGGATCACTTTGGGTTACTGAAAACAAAGCAACTTTCATACCTGTGGTGGATGCAGGGGGGGAGTTCTCAAGGGAGCGTGGTGGATCCGAGTCTATCAGGGACCCCAGGGGCGTCCCTGAGAGGGATTCCAGCGATGGCGTGGGGGATCCTACAGACATCCTCGCCCCTCACCCAAACACAACCTGTAAGAAGTTGCTCATTAAAAAAAGTCTTTACAAAAGAAAAAAGAAAGAAGAATTTATTTATTGTTGAAGAAAAAAGAAAAATATAAAATGTGTTCTTTCCTATGTTTTCCACAGTATTGACTGACAGGCTAACTAAGATTTCTTACATATCTTCTACTTTACAGAACCAACATAAATCATTAGCCCAAACCAATTAAAGACGCGTAATTAAATGTGGTAGCACAGTGCGAGAAGAGCCCGAACGCTTGCGCGGTGGTGGAAGGCGAGGGGAGACAGCGCCGCGGGGCAAGGGAAGGGAAGGTAGGAGGGGAGGAAGGGGGAGGGGGAGGGGAGGGAGGGAGGAAGGAAGAGAGGGGGACGGAAAGGGAGAGAATGAGGGATTGAGGGGGAGGGGGAAAGGAAGGGAGGGAGGGGAGGGAGATCGTAGCCTCCGTCGTCATACAATATTTACAACATGACCTTTCTCCCCTGCCACTCTCCTCTTCCCTCTCTCTCCCTTTTCCTATGCATTAGGTGTGGACAGGTGTAGTACAGCGAAACCGAAGCGATATTTTAGAACGTTCTCCCTGACATTACTCCCTTTTCTCCAAACCGGGAACCTTTCTTTTGTCCCTGTGTCCGTGTTGCGGATGTGATCATTTAATAAAAGTCACTCCCTCTTTATTCATTCCGACCTTTTCCTTTTCCATTACCCCCACCCCACCCCAATACCCCTGCAGTAAACTGTGGGGGTTGAGTTTCTGCCCTCCCCTCACCCTCAATACATAACCCCCCCCCCGTCTCCTGGTGGCCAGGTTGTCGAGGGCAGGCTCGGTCATCGACCCTTTGAGCTGTGCCGACCAAGCTAAACATACAAACCTAAAAACTGAACCCTGGTATACATGTTACATATACATCCTCGGGTACCCAAGGCACCACTTACATCATCATAAAATACTTCTATAAAATAAAACTTCACCGAAAGAATCATCTTATTTTTATTACCCTAACCCCCCCACCATTCATTGCAACTAGCACACACCTCAAGTGCTTCTCCTTTACAGACCTCTTTCTCGAGAGCTCTACCTGCGCCACACGAAAACACAACATGCCTTGCTACTTAAGCATTCGTTCTGCTGCACGTCGCCTGTCAGCTGTCGCGTCCTGGGTCTCCCCGCTGACACAGCGCTCGCGGATCTATCCTCCCGGCGCCCTCGGCAGATTCTCAAGGTCGCACGTAAAATCAGCACAGCCTTCCGTTCCCCGAGGTGACTACCACGCCTCCTTCCGCTTGCCTTTGCATCTCGGCCGAACCTTGATACCTTGAGAGGCTCTGCCGATGTTTACGGATCACGAGACGTCTTGACTATCGGGATACTCAGTAAAAAAAAAAAAAATATCTTCTCTCCCTTGTCATTTAGCTGGGCTGTTAAAACCCCGTTTAATCATTAGGATGGCTGTAGTATCATAGGCGGGGGGAATGACGCACGTTCCTTGTCCTGATAAAACCGGTTTGCTGGTTTGGCCGGTTTACATAAAAAAGAAGAAGAAGAAGAAAAAAAAAAAAAATCTGACGTACCGACATTGTTTTCCGAATTACGCCGCCGCTTCACCTCGAAGGTCGATTATCAAGGCGTTCTTTTTTCTATTCTGGGAATCGATCGCCTTCGGACAGGGAAGTTAACACAAATATTTACATTCGAAGCAACGTCTGGCTATAAACAATGACGTCCTCCTCTCCAAGAAATCTGCATATTGCACAGGCCAAATCCAGTGTCTTTTCCCGACGAAACTTCCAGCGAGGCAGCTGGTTCGCCGATTCACGTGTTGCGTGTAAACAAATGGCTGCCCGCACCGCACCAGTACAGATAAACCACCCTTTTATCTCTTTTTTGCTTTCCTTTTTTCAAACGTTACCCCCGAAACGAAGTTCAACGACACTGCTAAATTGTTTAAACGTATTTCTGGCCTGTGTTGTGTTGCTCCCGTTTTTCACGATCCCTAAAATATACAAAGGGTCGGGTGGAAAGAAAAGGAAAGTACAAGCTTCGGAGAAGGGTGGGGAGGAATTGGAGGGGGGAGGGGGTGGTAGCCAGGGAACGAGAAGAGCAAGGGCGGTACGAGAGAGAGAGAGAGAGAGAGAGAGAGAGAGAGAGAGAGAGAGAGAGAGAGAGAGAGAGAGAGAGAGAGAGAGAGAGAGAGAGAGAGAGAAATGGGGAGTGGTGGAGGGAGAGTGAATGTGAGAGATGGGAGTGGGGGGGGAAGGAGAGAGAGGGGGGAGAGGGAGAAAGAGAGGGATGTGACGTCACGAGTTGGAAAGCGGGATCGGGAGTGGAAGGGGCGGGGTGCGTCATCGTGTTTCTGGAACTGCTCTATCGCGACGGGCAAGGCTCGGGTACGGCCAAACACACGCGAAATTCCCACTCTCCGCCCCGCGCCCTCCACAGCCCCCCCCCCCTTCTTCAGGAAGCGACGCGATCCATCATACAAATGAGCCACGATAGAGCTCCTAAATAGCTCGCTGTGGACCCTCGGCAGACAAGGACAAAATGGCTCCGCGGGATGAGGCTTAAACATTGCCACCAACACACGCCGCCTTTGTTTCATTAGTAAAACACACACGCACACGCACTCAATTCAAGCGTCGTCGATCAACAGGTTGAAGAGGAACTTTCGCTGCGAAGACAATTGCCTACTTCGAGATGGCCGTCAACTTGAGGCCGCGCGCGTGACGCCGCGACAGACGCAGCCCATACCCTGTCGACCGCTTTTTTGACATTACAGATAGACATTCTCGAAAGCTTTGCTTGAGAAAAAAATAAATAAATAAATAAAATAAAAAATAAATGAACCATATCAAACTTATTTCCTCGCCTCTTCTCCCCACCTCCTTCCCGTCTCCCCCTAGTCTGTTCCCACTGTCTCTCCTTTCCCCATCCCTCTCTTTCCTATCCCCGCTTTTCTACCCCCCCCCTCACTCTCCCTGTGCTCTCCTCTCCTATTCCCTCTTTCTCATCGTTCCGTACCCAAGTCGAGCGGCGCCTGCCGGTGCGGGGGATGGGGGAGGGAGGGGAGGGTAGGGGCGTACCTTGGCGTCACGAGACGGTCTTGGAGGAGGAGCGGAAGAGAGGGCCAGAAAGGGAGCGAGCGAGGCGGCGGAGAGCGCGCAGAGCTCTCGCCGCCAAGGTGAGAGGAGACAAACACAGGGAAGGAGGAACGTGAAGAGGGAGGAGGGAGGAGAAAGTGAGAGCGAGAGCAGGGGGGGAACACATTGAGAACGAGAGCAGGGGGGGGAAGGAAAAACATATTGAGAGCGACAGGGTGGGGGAAGTGGCGGAGCGAGAGAGCATGACAAAGAGAGCAAGAACCTACCTACACCATTAAAAAGAGAAGAGGAAAGAAGAAAAATAAGACGAAAGAACGAAGAAGGGAGGGAGAAGAGAGAGAGAAAAAAAAGCGCACACCCTCAGAGGTATAACAAGCTCTTGGTAAGACCATTAGTGGACAAGGAAACTCCACGGCCAGTTTGTCTTGACCGGAAAGCACCACCTGTTAAAGAGGAACCTCCAGGAGCCGAGCGTTCGCCTCTCATTTAGTCCTTATAAAGCCTTCAAATGTGGCGAGGAGACGGGAGACGCCGGTCGATAGCCGGAAAGAACATCAAGGAAACCAAAGAAAAAATAAAGATAAAGAAAGGGAAAACGGATAGAGGAAAGAACCGGAGGGAACAGTGCGATAAAAAGCGAGATTAGCGACATCAGCTACACTGGAGAATGACCCGAGCGCTGCGTCTGGCGAGTGTTTGTTGTGGCGGGATGCTGTCTGGTGTCTGCGGGGGCTGGGGGGAGGGGAGGGAAGGGGGTATGGTTCAACTTGGTGTAGTACGTCGTTCAAAATACTGGCGGTGAACGGGACCGCCTTCGGGGCTGAACATTTGGAGTCTAGAACGTGTGCAGTGCAATATTGCACGCTTCTCGGATCTTCCCTGCGTCAGGGAGGGAGAGAAAAGTGGGCGAGGAGACCCTAGGTGACGAGCAGGGCAGACGGAGACTGGGGGGGATGAGCGAGAGAGAGAGAGAGAGAAGAGAGGAGAGGGGAGAGGGAGAGGGAGAGGAGAGAGAGGAGAGAGAGAGGAGAGAGAGAGAGAGAGAGAGAGAGAGAGAGAGAGAGAGAGAGAGGAGAGAGAGAGAGAGAAGAGAGAGAGAGATGTCTACAGGTTTACACCCAACTACACCCACATCAGAAGAGGGTCCTCCCCCCCATACCCGTGTGACGCCCTCCGGCCACCTCCCTCCGTCGGGCGCGTCACTCGTCGGGGCGCAAGGGGCCTCCTCCTTCGCCGCCGCGCCGCCACACTCAAAACATCCGGTAGAGGACGGGAAGACGCGATAAAACGGCCACCGCTCACCTCGCTCCAACCCCGGCGAGAGAATGCACGTAATTCAGGGCACGGCAGGCGAGGCGAGGCGAGGGCGGGGCGAGGGCGGCGTGCAACCATGAATGACTCGCATATGCGGTGCGAAAGGGGTCGTCATTCATGGCCGGGCTATAAATACACGACAGAGACACGAGCATGACCGCCCATTACGAGTCCAATCCTTTGGTAAGGTTGTTCCTTCGGGGACGGGTTTCCAAACGCGACTCGTAGGGGTTTTTGCGCAACGAGACGGGGGCTGAAGCGTCATTTCTGCTTCTTAAGGGTTCAAAACTAAGAATACTATGCGCCGCGCTTGCAAAATATATATGAAATGAATAAATAAAATAAACTTAAATAGACCGAACACATGTCGAGTCTCTTATCTCTTAGCTAACTTGTGACGTAATCTGGTCTCGATATTAAGTCCGACTCTCCATCCACAACGCAGCAATTACATGAAGAAAAGCGAAAGGGAGGGAGAAGAAACGGGGATTAAAGAGAGGAAAGAAAACAAAAACAGAATTGAATCTGTGGAGATCAACAGTGGAGATGAGACGGCGGGACAGCTGTCTGTATCAGCATCATCGCACCTACTTAGGGA